TATTCCGTGCACACATATTCAATGCTAATTTCAATAGGAAGCTATGATAAAAGCTAGAACCTGCGGGTAGAATATCATAGCTTTTCATTTAGCATAGAATTGCTGCACTAATTGCACATAACCGACGCATAAAAGCTTAATAAAATATTTTTTATGATAATATAAATATAAATATTCGTCGTATATATCTTATTTGTGTTTTTTGGTATATATTTTCAAAATTCAAATTACACAGTTTGAATTCAATTTGAAATACGTCATATTTTATCATTGACATTCATGAGCAAATTGTAATAACAATGTAAAGTAAAAAAATGCATAAGATGCAAACCATGGTTTTAAATCTAAATCACAATCGTTTAAATTCCGTGCATGTTTTTTTTCTGTGCTAATTCCCATAAGTTTTCTGATAAAAGCTGAAAGTTAAGATTAGTTTACCACAGGTCTTAATTTTGCGTAGAATCGTTACAGTATATTTTAACAATGTTTTCCATGCATACAGTTTTGGTGCTAATTTCAAAAGAACTTTATGACAAAAACTGAAAACTCAGATTGGCATACCACGGCTTTTAATTTAGCATAGAATCGCTGCATCACATCCTAACAATGAATTCCGTGCAGACAGATTCACTGCTAATTTCAATAGGAAGCTATAACAAAGGCTGAAATCTGCAAGTAGCATACCACAGGTTTAAATTTATCATAAATTTATCACATAATATACGAACCATGTATTTCACGTATACAGACTCAATGCTAATTTCAATAGGAAGCTATGACAAAGGCTGAAACCTGCAAGCAGCATTCCAAGGGTTTCAATTTAGCAGAAATGTATCACATAATAATACTAACCATGTATTTCGGGTATACAAATTCAATGCTAATTTCAAGAGTAGGCCATGCCAAAAGTTGGAACCTTAGATTACTATACACCCGCTTTGAATCTAGCATAGAATCACTGCATCCTATATATTAAGAATGTATTGCGTGCATATAAATTGAATATTAAATTCAAGAAGAATCCATGATAAAAAATGCAATCTTGGATTAGCAAATACTGGCTTGGAATTTAACATAGGCTTGCTCCATATTATATTAACCACGTATTATATTAACCACGTATTCCGTGTCTATACATGGAATGTCAATTTTGATGATAAAAAAAGAGTTGATACAAGTATTTTACAGGTGCCAATTAAAAATCAAATCAATGCATTCCGTGCCTACAGATGTTATAAATTTAGTGTAAAGTTTCTGCCAAATATACAAACATCGTAATGTTACGCAAACGTGAATAATTCGTAATGGAATTCAAAAGTATAAATTTTAGATTCCACAAGAGTTTACCATGAGCTGCAATATTTTCTAATTTCAAAAGGTGTCTTTGCTGAAAAATGAAATTTCATATTGGCATACAACAGCCTTTAATTTAGTATAGAATCCTTGTACCATATCCTAACATAAGATTTCTTGCATGTATTTTTTGTGTTAATTTCAATAAGAATTTGTAATAATGGCTGCAATGTTAGATTAGCATTTCATGAATGAATTAAATTAGCATAAAATATAAATGCACGGAATATTATATTAGCATATGTACAAAAACTTTATGCTAATTTCAAACTTTTGCGTGCTAGTTTAATGCTTCGGTTTTTGATATAATTTATATTATTAGATTACATAAAATATAAATCCACAAAATGATATACTAGCATATTGTAGAAAGATGTTATAATGAATTTTATATCTGTTAATTTAATGTTAAAGCTTTTATTGTAAATGCACGAAAAATTATATTAACCTGTTGTACAAGGATTCTATGATAAAGTCAAAGCATTTATATGCTAATTTTATGTTGCCAGTTCTAGCATAGATTACAATTGGAATTAGCATAAAATACACATGCACAGAATATCATATGAGCATATTGTGGAAAGGTTCTATGCTAAAATCAAACCCTTTGTATGTTAATTGACCGTTTCAGCTGCTAGCAAAAATTACTATTGAAATTAGCATGAAATGTACATGCACGGAGTAATATAATAGTTTTTTATGAGTTGTTTTAATTTATTACCGGTTTGAATCGTAAAAAGCAAATGCACGAAATAAGAAATCATATTCTATATAGTAAATCCAAGGGCTTTGAATGCTAACAGGACATTTTAGTTATTAGCATAAATTATAATTGGAGTTAGCATCAGATGCAAATGCACGGAATAATATATTAGTATATTCTACAAGGATTCTGTGCTAAATCAGGAGGCTTTGTATGCTAATTTGATTTTTCTGCTAGTAGAATAGATTAGAATTGGAATTAGCATAAATTGCAAATGCGTAAATTAAAATGTTAACATGTTGTACCAGGATTCTCTGCTAAAATCAAAGCCTTACAATGCTAATTTCATGTTGCAAGTTCTAGCATAGATTACAATTGGAATTACTATAAAATACAGATGCACAGAATATCATATGAGCATATTGCGAAAAGGTTCTATGCTAAAATCAAACCCTTTGTATGTTGATTGAACGTTGCAGCTCCTAGCAAAGATTACTTTTGAAATTAGCATGAAAGGTACATGCACGGAATCTTTTTATTAATGATAATTTTAAACAAAAATCAAAAAGCTTTGAGTATTTGGTCAAATTACGAAACATATTATCATGCTTGTTTTTGAATGCGTACTAAACGAATATTTTCTTATGCTAGTTTGTAGGCGCTGTTAGCTTGGTATAAACTTGATTTTGGCCTTGAAACATCTTGATGTTAGTAATACAACGTTATATGCGTAAAGATTTTTATGCTCATATGTAGATTTCGTTTTTAAGTTGCAAACATTCTGTTGCTAACAGACGCGAACCAGCATAGAACAGAGCCTGACGCAACGAGATTTGCGTACAAGTTTGTATCCCAGCACAATAGTTTTAAGCAAGAACCAAAATTTGCTGTTAGAAGTTGCCTGCGTGGTAAATGCTTGTATATAGTTTACTTTAAAACTCTGCCGCCAAACTGAATTTCCATATTTGCAGAAATTTAAATAACGATTACATGTTCCAAACCCTATCGGTTGGGGGCATTCCCTAGTTTAAAAAGGGTGTAGGACACTATTCCATATTATAACTGCGGGTTATTTCCATTTCTTGCAACTGTGCAGCCCACTGTTCCTTTGACAGTTACATAAGTATCAAAGCACCCCTACCTACCACACAGTGTGAGTTTGGACTTTATAATTAAGAATCTATACCAGGTGGCTTTCTTCAGCAGTAAGACACCCCTACACCGTAAATCCTAAACCCCTAAACACTTAAACCATAAACCAGGGAATCCGGGGATCATCGGATAAAATTGGAACGAGACAGAGAAGATTAGCATGGCCCCTGCGCAAGGACGACATGCACAAATTGAGAAATGTACCAAGCTTAGGGCAAAACCCTAAATCCGAACGCCCTAAGCCCTAAAGCCACGTGCCCAGTGAACCTCCAAGCTTCAATTTAATGTCATAATTAAGCCCGGCCCAGGTCATGGTGCTATGTCGGAGTCGAGCAGCTTCTTGCGCAGAGCTCTCAGTATATCAGGGTTTAGTGTTTGCGTGATGTGTGCATGTGTCTACAGAATTTCCGCCTTGTGTCTGCCAAGGGGACTCGTCAACTGTGGCTCCTGGACATGTCCGATGTGCGAGACTCTCAGTTCTCAGCAGTGTGCAACGTTCTTTCCACGAAGCATGCCTCAGCCGTTCAGGTCATCATGGATTCGCCCGTCTTCTGCTGGTCGACGTGCCGGAGTCGGTGTCAGTCAGGGCCTCATCTGCAATCTTGAAGTGATCCCTGATGAAGCCATGGGCATGAAGCTGAATGGGAAGCATGTTCTCTTTGATCAGCAGTGGGGCCCAAGCCCCATGTCAAACTCCATGTCATTGGCACTTGCAAGCCGACAGTCACACAGCAAGAACACTCTCCAACTCCGCTGAGCATGACTTCGCAGAACAACCATTCGGAGTCGATACTTGCAACTTCTACTTTTCTACTGGTCGGAGTCGACACTGCGTGCGTTGCTGAGCCATGTCCTTCAATTTCATGAACCCGCCGCCCCCTCCGGTGGTTGCAGGACAGACTCTGCAGATTGTTTTCGCATGATTTTCCGTGTAGCCGTCGTGACTTCTTGCGCTAGGATGGGAGGGGCTTCCAGTGGAGCCCGGAGGAACAGGCCAGAGATCAGTGTGGCGTTTGATCAGCAGTTAGTTTCTTGATTGTTGTCTTACCGATGAGGAGCGCGTGGAGCTGCCGGAGTCGAACAGCCACAAGGCTAGGCTTGCGCAAAACGGTGGTTGTTCCAAAAGGCAATTCAATGCGCTGCCCAGGGCCAGGAAATCGCAAAGGATTCAAGGGCCAAGGACAGGCATGTTGAGTTCTGAGTCACGCTTCGTACTGTTATCTTGGCAGGATACACACGTCTTCCTGCTCCGCTTCCTGTTGGCCGGATTCCTGGAGGCACGTTCTGAGGTGTGCATGGAAAGCCTTGACCATTGCGTTGAAAGGAGCTCCATCTGGCCCGCTGCGAGTCAATCCTCCTGCTGATGCCCAAGGTCGGGTCGCTGAACTGTATTTTTTGCATCCCAATCTTGCACTAGGAGTTTGCTTATTGCTACATGATTTCTACTGGCACAGGATGCGAGGCTCGTGGCTCCGCTGAGGCTCCACCTGTCGGAGTCGAGCCGCAAGGTAGGAGAGGGTCAAGTTGATAATTTTGTGTCTCCTTCACATTGCTCTTCGCGCAGGACCCCGGCCTTCATCGATGCCGACAGCTGGCGGTTCGATGCCTAGCGCTGGCCCTTCGACGATGAGTGGCCAACAAGGAGAGAGTAGAATTCATTTAATTTCTGTGCCTGCTAGATAATGCGCCTTGTGCAGGACCCTGCCAGCCTTCTGTCGGAGTCGGAACGGCCGATCCAGGAGAGAGACTTTCGCATTCGAGTCTAAGCGGCAGATTCTGTCTTGGAGGACTCATGGCATTGCCGCCGCACTTTGCGCTCATGAAGATAGCGGAGCTGCACGCCCTGAACATGAACATGCTGAGGGACAACAACCAGCTCAGCTCGCAGCTGGCAGCCTTGAGAGGCTTGGTGAAGCAGCTCCAGGATGAGGCGGCGGAGGCTTCGGAGTCGGTGTCGAAAAAGGACTCCGAGGTGACGGAGCTCAAGGCCAGAGTGAGGGCACTGGAGTCGGAGTCGTTAAAGGAGAGGGCCAGCCACAGAAAGGAATTGGAGGAAGAAAGGCGTCGCTCACACAAGCACGCCAGAAGCGTCGAAGACAGCGCGCACACAGACCTGGCCCGGGAAACGAAGGTGCTGAGGTTGGAGTCGGAGACAAAGATGAGGAAGAAGGACGAGGAGATGAACCGCGTGAAGGCCGCGTACACACAAGTACTTGAACTCACGTTGATTCTTAGTCTTCTTGTGCAGGCAGCCCTCAGGATCGCCGAGAAGAAGGTCGCGGAGTTGGAGCGCGAGAAGGCCGGGTTCTAATGCCCTGATGCGTTCTGTTTGTTTAATATAAAAGTCTACCGGCCCTGGATGTCAGGCGTCAAGGGCTCCGAGGGCTGCCTGAGAGGAGCTGGCCGAAGCAGGGTGGACATAGGGTCCTTTGATCAAGTCCTAGAACGAGATATACCAGCTCACACCACACCAAGGAGACCCCATGCATAAATGTCGATGTACTTGGAGCAAGTCCACCTTGGCTTCAAAAGGTCTGTAGTGAATATGTTTCACAACGTCGGTAGTCGAATTTTGCAATCACCCAGGAAGGGCTTTTAAGAGAGACAGAAAGCAAGCAATGATATAACTCCAGCCCATCTTAGTTGTACCTGGGTGGTTGTTAAGGCTACCTGAGGCCTGAGAGGCTTACGCCGAAGCAGTGGACATAGGGTCCTTTGATCAAGTCCTAGAATGATTGTGCTTAATCATATCTACCAGCTCATATCAAGGAGACCCCATGCAACATATGTCTATGTACTTGGCGCAAGTCCATCTTGGCTTCGGAGAGTCTGTAGTGAATGTGTTTCACAATGTCGGTAGTCGATAGTGGAATTCTGCAATCACCCAGGAAGGGCTTTTAAAGAGAGACAGGAAGTTATGCAATAACTCCAGTGCATCTTAGTTGTACCTGGGTGGTGGTCGTCCTAGACTGACGGCAGTGGAATCTTTGACAGTCATCCAGGCGATGGGTGCAAAATAAACAGTCCACCTGCCATCTGCGCTCGTTGTTGTTGACACCCCTAGACCCTTGAGTCCTTGAGCCTTGAGGTCGTGATCTTGGACAACTGGCTTGGGAGGCACTGGCCACAGCTAACTATGTGTGGTTGATGGAATTCTGCCCCTGGCGCTTAGGTCTTGGCTGAGCGTGAGTTGGAGATGGACATTGGATGGAGGCCCGAGGACTCGCAATCGGATGAATGCTCCACAGAGCTTTCTGCAGGCGCTGGTCTTCCCTTGCTGCCTTGGACAAGGACAGAGCCTGCCTTTCAATCAGGATGTCATTTCTTGGCGCCCCTTGCAAAGGACCTATCCTCTGGCTTCTGGGCATTGCTGCGCGGAGGCCATTTATCAATGTATCCTCAGTCAGTCTTCGTGTTATTTGTTATTGCTACTCCCAGGTCGTACACAAGCTGCAGTGTGGTTTGGTCGGAGTCGTTTGCTTCTCAGACGGTCTTCTGATGTGATTTGATGAAGGGCGTGTTAGACTCAGGCTTCTTCCATGAGCAACTCAGCGCATTCCCATGCCAGAGCCTCCTTTGTGCTTTGTTTTGCATGGCTAGCCCGAGTATAGTGTTCAAGAAATCAAGCCGCCGCTCCCAGGTCGCACACAAGCTCCGATGTTCTCCTCTTGTCGGAGTCGTGCGCTTCTCAGATTATCATCTGATGTGATTTCACTCTGAGGGATCCACATGAATCATGCATTGGAATCAGGCTTCTTCAAGAACGATGAGCAGATCAGCGCATTCCCGTGCCAGAGCCTCAGTTGTGCTTCGGTCCACATAGTAATAATTAATACTGCTACTCCCAGGTCATGCGCAAGCTGGGGTGTTCTTTTCTCGGAGTCGTTTGCGTTTGAGTCTCAGACTATCTCCTGACATGATTGGGCTGAGGAGTCCAAGTGAAGCATGTGTTGGACTCCAGGCTTCTTCATGCGCCATGCGCAGAACATCTCATTCCAATGCCAGAGCCTCATCGTCAAGACGTTGGCTCCCACTTGCGGCCTGGTTACCGAAAAAGATATATAGGTCAGTCACAGCAGCGCATTATTAACAACCCAGAATGATAACTAACAAAGTAGTAAACACCATTGAATGGAGAACGGCAGGGCTGCTTTAGAAGTGCTTGCGCATGGGTACTGCTTGAGGTGGAGACCACGGGGTGCACGCTGGAAGTACCGCTTCGGCAGCGCCACTGAGGTGCCCATGCCCGGTGTTGGGTTCCATTCTCGGTAATAATCCCATTTCAGGTTGCAGTTAGATTCGGGTGTATGTCACAGGGCTTGGGCTGCCAAGCGAGGGCACATGGTCTGGCGTGTAGGATCCACCAAGGAAAGTTTGTCCAAGGGTTTTACTCTGTGAGTTTGATTGGGAGTTCCCTTGCAAAGCCCAGGCATGTCCAACATGAGTTGCCAACATGTTTGCAGCAAGTTGGCCCCAGCGGCAATCCGAGGCAGTGTTTGCTTAGGCTTGGACATCTTACGACGCATGCCAGCACTACACACTCATAAGTCGGAGTCGAGCTTAATTACTACACACTCATCAGTCGGTGGCGAGCACACGCCAATCACTACACACCCATCAGTCGGAGTCGAGACACACAGCACACACTTTCAACCCATCAGTCGGAGTCGAGATACACAGCACACACTTTCATTTTAAGCCACATTGTTAAGGGGTTCGGAGTCGAATGGACAGCGTTGCCTTTCAGTGTCTGCCGAACGATCTGAAGCAGATCGTTGAGGAGCTGCTATTGAAGAGGGAGGCGATCCAGGCAGGGCCATGCATGGGTCTGCTCCTTCTGGCATTAATTGGCTAGTCCTAAGCCCTAAACCCTAAACTTTAAACCCTAAACCCTAAACCGAAAGCCTTCTGCTTGACATTGGGAGCCCCAAGCTTGTGTGGCAGGCGCTCTATCTCCTCTGGTCGGAGTCGAACGCTGCCGCCCGTGACCACCTGCGCCATCTGCAGTCCAGCCCTGCGAAGTCGAATCCGACTGGGTGGCTGCTGAATTCTTGCCTAATCAGAAATACGGTAGTCGAAAAGCCTCACACAGTGGATTGCCACCGTAGCCTCGGTTTTTGAAGCTGAGAGCTGTGCCATCTTATGGTTGGAGTCGAGATAGGCGCAGTCTCTTGCGTGCTTTTTAGAGACTCCTCTATGTCGGAGTCAAGATCAGGGCTGTGCCCCGCACGCCTGGCATGAAAAAAAGGGGGCGCACAGTGCTGAGTCTTGTAGCGCTAGAACCATCGACCATGATCAGACCATGATGCTCAGTGCCCTTGCTTGCAGGTGCTACCTGGATGCGTGGTGAGTGCGGGCCCTGACTTCGCTGAGTCAGCTAGATCAGGAACACGTTTCATAGACTTCGCTGACTTTCCGGACTGTCGACGATCAGTGATCGTCAGGCTCGGCTGCGGGTTGCAATGATGCTGCAGTCAACTGGTCCCAAGCAGAGCCTGACGGTCACTGATGGCAAGGTCGATGCCAGCAACTCATGTCGAGAAGGGGCTCAGTCTGGCGCCCAGCCCAGAGATTCCAAAAGACCTTAAATCCAGGAACAGCCCTTAATTAAGGACAAAATCTTTAAAAAAGTCTTTAATTAAAGGCTTTTTCCTTAATTAAAGTGTTTTTGTCGTTTTTAGTCCTTAATTAAGGGGTTTTCCTCCT